AGTATTATTTTGAATATTTAATTTAAATCTGCAAGATTCCCGAGGAAGGCCAGTCACCCACTATTCTACGCTCTAAAGCGATTAAATCTTCAACTGTCTATGAAGTTTGAAAGAATATGCAATTATTCCTTAAAGGGTTAAACAAAATCACCATATAAATGCAAATCAAACCTTCACCTGTATTTCAATTTTAATTTTAACGTTCTTGGTAACTTACCCTTTACTTCTCAAATTTCACTTTGTCCTACCAAAAAGAACATCTATTTTATAACAGAACAAATTCTATAAACTCTTCATCCTCCACACACTTTATCAAACCAGTTAAAGATCCCTTCTCCTTTAACAAGCTTTAGTGTTTTGCATAGCTTCTCAGATAATAAAATTCTGGGAATACTTCACACATCAGATCCTCCAAGCACTTTCACTGCCGACATAAACAAAAACTAAATGTAAGATGTACGTTGTTATAAACTTTAAAATATTTGAAGATAAAAATCCCACTCAAGATAGTTGCTTTCCTCACTCCAGCCATGTGTTTATGCCAAGTGTAACTCTGTTGTCATGGCTGCTCAGTCAACTCATTAAAAATAACATTTCACTAGTCTCCAACCACCAGCTGTATGGATTCTGTTAGAGGAAATGGATCTGGGCTCTAGAAAATGAATCCAGATGAGCCTGTATCACTTCAACATCACATTAAAAGCCATCCCGTTCAAGAAACTCCTTCTACCTAAAGAATCTTACTCAGTCCCCCAACCTCAGAGGTAAAGGCCTGATTTTGTTCCAGAGAATTCTTGGGCATTTAGAAATGAAGCTTATTCTGCAATACCTGGATGGGAGTGGATCCAGGGGGATACTGTAACTGCTCTGTATCTTGATAGCAAAGGTCTTCCATGCAGCTGCTTTTGAAGCAATGGCAAGCCTTCTGTGGAGATCTTGGCTTGGTTGTTCTGGAAGCAGATGCAGAACTCTGCAGAAATCTCAAAGCCGTATTAATATAGTCTCCTTTAAATTACTAGTTCTGTTAAACCCTATTATCTGCAACTATAGATCTGCTGTACAATTCTTTTCTTCCGTTACAGTGAGCAGCTTAAGTCTCAGCTCCATATGGTTATTTCTGTTTTGCTTTTGAAGACACAACATATGAGTAACTGTACCAATTCATAGATGTGCCTGTAAGCAGACTTTGCCCCCCTGAACTGAGACCATATCTGCCTGTAAAGGCAAGACAACTGCTCAATACTTCCAGTCTCTGGCCAACATAATTCAAGATAAAAAGCAGCAATGATAAAGTTACAAGAAGATGCGGCAATTTATGTGAGGTGAGGGAAAAAGTAGCTTTACACAAGTGTATTTGATAATTGAGTATCTTTGTGTGACATCTTGACACATTCTGCCACTAGTCTCACATTCTGATTTCCATTTTCCGTATTTGTTCAAATTATAATTGTATGAAGTCACTGGCTTCAAAACTGGTTTGTATTCAATGCAAATAATTACTTAAGCAACTTGTCTTCAGAACTAACATATGGGTTTCACATGGTGAGAATATTCAAAAAATATTTGAGCCCAGGCCCCGTTTTAACCACAGTATACTTATGTCTCAGCAATTCTATATTATTTCAACATAAGGTAACATACATCACCACCCTCCTTTAGTTCTGTAGCCTGACCCCTCCTTCCAGGAGGGTGCAAAGCATTTATTGCTGCTTTATTCTCTCCCAAACACACCTCATTATCACCCTTGCTTCCCTAGTTCAGTGTGGTACTGTGCCCCACCCAGCCCTTCAGCTGCTGACCTTGACCAGACACAGATCAGTTGCAGGTAACTCCTGTAATAGCCCCACATCAATTCCCCACCCTAAAGGGGGTGAGGTGGAACAGGAGAGAACACAGGCAACTGTAGGAGTTGCACTACTGCTATTCATCAACTTTCAAAGTATCAACCTCCTCCCTCCTGATTTCCTCTAGGTTAAGGGAATGCTTGTGACATCGGCAGTGCCCCATACTCCAAACCCCTTGCACACAGGGTAAGGACACGCCAACATACTTCCGTTTGCCACAGTTAAGACCTTAGATGAGCCGTCTTTGAAGTAAGCACTGTAGCAAGCAACAGCTGATAAATGTAGGTTTCTCCAGGTATGTGAGAGTAAGCTCTCCCCTTCAGTGTGCTGCACCGGCTCTCTGGTAACTGATTTTAGAGAATAAGTATGAACGGGCAATAAACTCATTTTTTATCAGTCACTGCAGCTGCTAGCCTAGATTGCAACATAAGCTATGATAATTCATGTTTCAGATGCATTCTAAAAATTTACAGCAACTATTATTAAAGACTGTGCTAAAGTATCTCATCATCATTTGCATTTATTCACACCTCTGGAAAACAACTCCAACTCCAAATAGCATTCAGGTGGAAGCTTCCATCTGCTAAAAGCAGGTCACCTAAGTCACACTCACAAAAATTTTGTTCTGTACCCAACCTCCTCCCCGCAACCCCCTAAGGCCTCTTCCTGCAATTTTCCCCAAGAAAAATGATGCCTGTACAGTTACGAAGATGTTTTGACTCTTGGAAACTTTGATCAGAACACTTCCCTGAAATATCTAAATTAAACCTAACTAAGCACCACAGACAGTTGCAGCTTGAAAAAGAAATCTCATCTTCTACTGGTATAAACACTACAGCAGTCCAACTATTATGCTTCTTATTTCTTGGAAAAGGTGAGAATTCACAGCAACTGCTCATTTTCAATAACCAACCCCTAACTTCTCTTGCAGGAACCTTTAAATCTGATATGAATTGACTCGTTTAAATGGACACACTTTTCACCACTTTGCTGCCAAGTACACCAGGCAACTCTGACACACGGAAGTGAAGTTTCCTGAATGGCAACTGCAACCTAGTTCAGCATTTCAGAAGGTAAACTTCATGACTGTAACAAATATGCAATGTGTTTAATATGCAATTTTTCCCAATCTTCCTGTGAGTGTATGTTATACCTAACATTTAACAAAATTAATACTAATAAAACCAGTTATCATTGATCAGTTATATTGGTTTAATTTTGACTGACTTCACTATTTCAAATGGAGTATGCTCTATTTACATTTGAAGTACAATGCAACTCATAGTTAAAAGCCACATGAAAGTTAGACCAACTGAACACCCATCCCCTTTTCCAGATCGACTTAGTCACAAGCACTGCAGTCAAGCACTAAAAACGTTAACAAGTAGCTGAAGATCAAGTTAAGATGCTCCTTTTTCCTTTCTATGGAAATACCCTTTTGATGTATACGCTGCAGTTTTAAGAGCCATTTTTCAAGAAACCCAATCTGTTCGTACTAACTGCATGTAAATTTTGCCAGTGTCTCATGATGGAGAGTAATTCTACAGTTTAGTTGCATTTTCTACTGCATACGTTCTATTCCACATTTTTGGTCATGGTTCTTACATTTTACTCTTCCCTAACAGAGTTCCTAATTCAGTGACTAGTTATAAACAAGTCAAGCAGTAAAGCCTCCATGCACAAGTACATAAGATCGTAGTAATTACATTTTAGACTGGGCAAGAATACAAGGCTTAGTCATGCTATTCAAACAATTTACAGCTGCCAGCTTAACGTTCTCCAAAACTTTGGCAAAACAAAAGATAGTTGCAGGTTCTGGTTCTATTCTCCTGAAGTTTTGACTGGGAATTGTTTTTACTTGCACCTCCTCCTTCTATTACTGCCCTTTTCTCTCACCTCTACAGTAAACTTAGTTGGAAACTACTAGTTAGGATTGTTCTTTCATGACTTGTGGTTCCTCCCTCTCTTCAGCTTTGCAGCACATGGGAATGAAGTATATTATGTATCTAGTAACACGTAACTGAAGTACATAAGAAGTACTATTATAGTGGCATGCACCACTAAAACCGATCAGCTGTAACAGCAAAGTTTAAACACAAGTGAAACTAACAACAGACTTAGAGAAACACAACCCTGTTACTGAAACAATGCTGAATTTCATTATACTGCATCTTACTATACTCAAACTAAAACTGCAATTCTGAAACAGCAAAATTTGGAATTAGTTAGGAGCAAATGAACCTTGAAACTATACTTACGTTCCTCTGTCCCAGTAAGGGCTATTTAACAGCATGATGTTGATAAGTATATAGGACATCCACTTGAAAAGCATCTTTATCTACCCAAGAATGGAAATGAAGTAAGGGGTATACCCCACAGCCCCTGTAAATCTAGCATTAATTAAATTCCTCTACAGCTAGGAAAGGAAATACTTTCATAAACTGAAGATTACTCTGCGTTATGATTGGGAGGACAACGTACCATTAACAACTTTTTTGGAGGCCCCATGATGTCACTGCTAGCCACTGTTACACAGAAGTAATCAAAAGCAGCCAGCTCCTGACCTCAAGCCGCTTAAGTGTAGTTAGTGCTTTCCTTTTTCTTTTAATTGAACTAGAATCCACAGAAATATCCTGCTCTCCTATTTACTGCTAGGTATGCCACATTTCTGAAATGCAGAAACAGTGTTTAAGTGTCATGGAATTTTTGTTAGCAATTCAAGAAGTTAAATACCTTTTATGAATGTCACTTGGTTTACAGAAGCACGGTACCTTGATTTACTGGGCTATACATTGTACAGCAAGTTACTGAGGCATCTGAAGAAACTCACTGAAGGAATCTAAGTTACAAGTATAGAAGAGGCCACTACCTGTAACCGTAGGGTAGGAAGCCTGCCTTTCACAGCAAAAATGAAAGAACCAGACCCACTCTCTCAGTCACGGCACTTTAAGGTGCATAAATGCAAACTATGCCTCCCCTCAGAGCAGGCCCTTTCACCATCTGTAGTTTTCTTGTGCTCCACTTTTTCATCTCCCATGATGCAGAAGACTAGCCTAAAGCACTTCCAGCACTGGCCAACTACTGTTTTGCCATTCAACAGTGAAAGTCTGAGTTATCAACGAGGAAAAAAAAAACTTCACTAGGCCAAGGTTCTAGGAAGTAAGGTGTTTTGAGTATTTAATAGATGACATTTCAAGCCTGTACAATGCAACATCATTAAACTGTTTTGTGGGGTTTTTTGCCAATTTAAGAAACAGGCAGCTAGCAGTCAGTGCCACTTGATTAGAAAACACGCATGTGACCTGGGGAAAGTTCAAAGCATTAGGAAATAAAAAAGCACATACTCACTGATAAAGCATACATTGGACCACAAAGCAAACTCCTACCATTTCTTGAGCAGAATCTTCCTCGTGTCACAGCAAGTCTGTAGTGTCTAAATCTTGTCTGTGACCATATTTAGAATTCATTTGCGTGTTAAGACAATTACTATAAAAAAAATCTTAAGATGGTCCCAATCTAAGTCAACTCCCACTGATGTTTCCTTCCGTAAGTAAACTAGATGTCAGTCAAAGCTTTTCTACTGGGAGACATTCAGAAACAAGTCAAGTATCACAATGTTTATTGATAGATACAAGTATATAAAATCAGGGCATGAACATGTCTTGATAAATTAAGTAGACTTAATTTCAGTACTATAATAGAGGGACCAATTCAAATTTCTCACCATGTCATGTTTCACACCCACAAAAACCTCTTCCAAAGGGCATTAAACCATCTCCTCAGCTGATCAGTTTTTGTGCAAGTAAACTGTTTCTTTTAAAAAGACTTGTGCACTTGCCCAGGCTCAAGGATATTAAAACCTAGCACATAAAGCCCATTACTAGAGGTAGAAATACAGGCAATATACTATTACGGCAACAACCATCGATTACAGTTAAGGATTCTCTGTAACAACCAAATGGATAATCAAATATTGCAACAACTCAAGTATTACACTGAGCAAAGTGCATTTCTACAGTATTCAGTGTTGCTATTCAGTTTTCTAACTTAAAAACAGCCTATGATAACTGGCAGCAAAGAAGACCCTTGCAACAGACTGCTTCTGCTCGAGAACTTATGATGTAATTATTGCATGCTGCTAATACACTGTTATCTAAACATTAAAGATACTCTAAAATATTTTTATTGTAGACTATTAAGACATACTACAAAAACCTTTCGCAGAAGATACCCTATTGACATACTTCTGCTTTAAATATTGTGAAACATTACAGCGGAATGAATTTTCGCAGTGGTTAGGTCAAATGCAGTTACATCATAGCAACAGTATGTTTGCACGATTTAAGGCTTTGGCTGGTTCTTTAGTCAGCTTCTTCTTCAGATTCTTCTTCTTCAGCAGTTTCCAGCCAGGTTAGCCATTGGTTTACCTGCAGTTACATAAAATTGGTTTAAGGCAGCAGAATTATTACCCCCCACTATGTACTTCTGCAGAATACTGCTTTTTTCCCCAACTCATTTTAAAGATCTTTCAGCTACACTTTGCACTAAAAGTAGGTCTCTAGTAAAGAAAAAAGATGTACTTCCATCTTGCCTCACTCCTTCCTAATGAAATACTCCATAAAGTTTCTAGATATTAAGAAGTTTTAAACACTGTTTTAACGTTCTTGAACACTCCAGTGCAACAGAGATCACAAAAGACAAATCTCTACTCTAGTGTTAGCAAATTTACCTGGAATAAAGCTTTGCCCTTCCCTGGAAACTCTTGAGTAATATCTTCTTTCCATGCCAAGAAGGCTTCTTCTTCAATGATTTCCATGTCATAGAAATGAACAAAGAAGCGCAGTAACATGCCTATGGACGTAAATTGAAACTTCATCAGCTTTATAACCCTTCTAAACAGCTTACTTGACTAAGAAATGTAGTGACAAGCCTGAAAGCCATACAGAGACACAAGCAAGCAAACACAACTTGAATTTTGGATAAGATCTCGATGCACATACCTTTTGGAAAGTTATTGTTGTAGCAGTGCACCTGGAGTGCATATAAAGCACTCACTTGCAGATCAACATGGTCATGGAGGAACTTCTGCATTACCGGCTTGAAGGAAAGAAGCAGTTGTTTTTCCTGCTCTAGCTGCTCTTTAGATGGAACAGATGAAGAATCCGATTCGTCACTAGGTGGGTTTACTTCACTAGAAATATACTGCAAGAAACTAGACAAAAAAAAAAAAAAGGTAAATTCTGTAAACTGGTAAGCAGCTAGATTTCATGTTCTGAAACAGTAAGACAAGTCCTCTCAAGTTCAGTTTGCTAGCTATTACAAACAAGCAGGAGGGTATTGCTAGTATCAGCAGTTAGGTACGTGCACAGTGGATTAATATTGTGGTTGACTGCACCACAAAAATCCTAATTTTACTTATGTTATGGCTCTGAAACATTTGAGAAAAAGAATACACAGGTCTAGACTTCTCCTTTCCAAGCAAAAGCAACACTTCACACTGATGCAAGCCTGGAGACTTGCTTTTCTTCTCAAATACAATGGGTTTTTAATACATGGGAGGTTCACCCAGAACAATTTACCTCCCCGTGTACTGTAACTTTTTCTACACAGAGCTACGTATCAGCCTTTACAGAGTTAGTGACTTATTGGTAGCTTAACAAAACATGTGCCTAAGCTGTATCAAGATAGCACCTCACCTGGTCATCAATATATTCACAAATCCCTTATCTACATGAAGTTTGGGTGAAATGTTATCTTTAATCCACTTATAGATGGCTTGAGGGGATGGATCCGATTTTATTTGCTTTAGCAGTTCCTTCTCCAGTTTCAGAAGCGGGAACAAGAAGCTAAGCCCCTTCCCTTCTAAGATCTCCAGCATGCGGTCCTTGTTCTGGTCAATTTCTGACAAGTAAATAGGAAAGACACACTTAAGTGCTGGTGCTAATCAAAACCTATAATCAATGGTTCATGGGAACACCATTCTTAAGAATCATGACAGTTGATTGCATCAAAATAACCTTGTACGTTATTTTACTCTGGTGTAAAAAACTAAAGGAAAAAACATCTTGCATACGCTAACATGAGGTGTCAATAAGAGCTATATGGGAACTCTTACCTGGTAACATTTTCTGCATATTCACTTTGCTTTGTTGGAACAATTCTGTTAGCCATTCACGATCTTGTAACTTAGCTAACTGCTGAAGGCAAAGCAGGAAGAGAGGGAAATGGGTGCCACTTTCCAGTGGTTGAGCCAGTTCGGAAATGCTCACCAGTTCTGAAATAATGGCACGGGCTGCGAACTGTGCTAAGTAGGATTTCACCAATGGGATGTCCACCTCCAGTTTGGGGTGGAATGCCTAAGAAACAGTAAACACACAAGTTGAAATTCTGAAGTAATTTTGTTCTTGTGCACAGTAATACTCTTACTACGCAGGAGTCTCGCATTTCTGCATTGAATCACTTGCCAAGAGTTCCCCACTTCCAGTTCCTGAAATGCTGTACCTACATTTCTTCCTTTCATCCCTTTTTATGCCCCTCACAGGTTTATACATTATTTTTACCTCCTCAGATCAAGAGGACTGCGAAAAATTTGCATGCTGCCTTTACGCAAGCTGAACATCATGAACAGCAAAGCAACAAGGACTGTGAGCCTATTAGATTGCAGTACCTGCATGAAGTTGTCACTTGTGGCTATTCCCTCCTGCTTGAGCAAGCTGATCAAAGTACTTGCTTTCTCTTTGTCTTCATCTGATCTATCTAGGGATTGAATGATTACTTTGCTCAACATCTCAGGAATGAAGTGTTTTGGAGCTCTCATTTCTCTCACAGTATTGACAGCATCATTAGCATTTCCATTGTTCAGATACTCAGTCACAACGGCTTCCTAGAGGAAAAAAAAAAAGTGTAGTTAAACATTCATTTTTAAAGAGCACATACATGGCTTTAAGAAGCACTATTACATACTTACAGTTTGTTTAAGTAGCTCTTCTTTAGAAGGAGGTGGTTTCTTGGTGGTCTTTGCAGGTTTTTCTTGTATAAGTGGTGGATTTGTTTTAAGACCAAGTTGAGGAGGCTGAAAAAGACAGTACCAGAATTTTTTTTCTGTGCAGTACACATTTATATCAAGTTTAAGAACACTAAATATGTACAAAGGCAGATGAAAGTCGAATTGGGTTTTCAGGCATTCTTTTTGTATACCCTGCTCCGTGCAATCTCTCTCCCTTCCCATATTAGAAAGTGGTTTAAGTTTTACATGCATGAAGAAATTTAAGTATAGCCAAAAATATACAGTAATTTTTATATTTACCTGTCCCAAAGGTGGTGTCTGAGTGCGTGGTGGTTGAGCACTAGGAGGAATCATAGTTATCTGGGGCTGAAGCTTTGGCACTTGATTTTTGTTCATTAGGAAAGACTGAGCAGGTCTCAGGCTAATCTGTAAACAGGTAAGTCAGAAAAAACTCAAACTGTTTCAAGTATTCTGACCAAGAATACACAGCCATGGACTCACACCAACTGATCCCACCGAAGCATGACTTTTCCGTTTCTACAATGTTAACACTCAAATACAGATTAAGCCACATGGGTACTGAAATTCCCCCAAAAGCATGACTTGATGAATCACAACTTGCTGCAAGTTACTGGTACTTAGTTCCGTTGGTATAAAGATCTGGAATTGCTCCTTTTAGATGCAGTATGTTAGAGACCCAAGAAGATACTTTGCATGTTTGCTGATGTATTTTACAGCCAAGATAAAACTCTACCAATTGCTCAGAAATCAGGATACGAGTCTGGTTAACACTCAAAATAACAATGCAATTTACTTTGCATTTGACATCTTGCCTATTAGCCAGTTCTTAAAAAAACAACAAAAAAATTTAGCCTGGTCCAGCACTTCAGGGTTGCTAAAGTTTAGGACTTTCTGAAGTTTTAATTAAGTGTATTGTTATCAGTATGATGCATGGGAACTGATGTCAGAGTAGTGTTCTTGGGGAGGTGTGGGGGAAGGAAGGGACACCCCAAGAAATTGCCCTCATATCTCAGTCTTGCTCATAGGACGCTGGATACCCTAAGGAAAGTGAGGGGTAAGGTGAAGGAGGAAGGGACAAAGGAGGAGGAGGAGGAGGAGAAGGAGAAAGAGTTCCAGCATTAGTCCTCATAATAACGCGTCTTGCTATAATCATTGGGCAATATTTAGAATAGGCTTTAAGTAATGTAGGCATGTAATGTACCTCATCTGCATTAAGCTGTCCTTTCTTAGAAAACCGAGGTGGCATATCCTTCGACTGTCCTTGTTGCTGGGATAAGAGTCCCTGATTCTGGTTATGGTAGAGCTGGCTTTGCCCCTATTTCAGAAAGGGAGATATAGAGAAAGAAGTGCAGATGATGGAGTGGCGTACATCATATGGTAAGTAGTACCAGAGGGACCAGAGGAACAAAGATTCTATTTGCCAGGAAGGGAGAAAGAAGGAGCAGGGGTGGTGGGAGAGTAGCATCTATCCCTAAAAACAGGGCTATCTTTTAAATTAAACACACCATTCTGACCCACCAAAGCCACATGCACCTTTTCTTGCAGTAAAAAAAAGTGTATTCCTTGCATCTCTTGCACAATTTAAAAAGTGGTTTAGAATTTTTGTATCAGCTGAGCATCAGTTCTTATCAGAATCAAATCTGAGGAAGTCTTTCAACATAAGCAGACTATAATCCATAACATACGCATCTGTAGAAGAGCTTCTAAACATGCTGAAGTCACCCTGTGAACAACATCTTCCTTACCTGACTTTTCAGAAAAGATTTGCCTAGTTCTCCAAACTGGGATTGAGCAGAAGGCATGAGGTGACCCCCATGGCCATTGAAAAGTTGGTTTGAACGATGGCGTCCCATGGTGGGTGAAAATCTATCCTGAATAACTCCTGGACCAGTACCAATTCCGCTACCTGTATTATTACAAAAACAAGACAATTTTAATTCTTGTTCAATACGGTACAACCACAGTCATCACATCAGCCTTGCAGTTTCAGTGTACCTGGCATTTGTCCGAACATATCAGCAAGCCCTCCGAGTGGGTCCCTGTCAAGTTTCATCCTGGGTGGCATAAACGGTCCCTCCAGAAAGAAGTCGCTTCTCATCCCTTGAGACATAGGAGCAGGAATAAAAACTCCCAGATCCTTTAAAACAGGAATTATAATTTTGGTAAATTTGCAGTAATAGTCCCTGAGAAAGTCAAGTTTTTAGCCTGGAACTATAGAAGTCCATCTGATTTTGACCCTTAACCCCTTACTGTTAACACTCTGCTGTGAGAACTATTCATAGGTGCACAGCTAAGTTTTGTGACATGAGTGAAGAGCATAAGGATTCACTTTAACACTTAAGCAAAAGCCAAGCACAAGACTCACATGCAACACTTACTTTTACTGCATCTTGACGGATTTGATTGATAGTCTTTGGTCCATTGTCAAGAAAAGCTTTGCGAGGAACCCAGTTGTGTTCTCTCAACTCCACAGTATCCTTGGAACATAATGAATTATTAGGACAGGATTCAAGACAACTTTGCGAGAAAAATAAAGCAGTAAGCCATTTTATCATCATACCTGCAGCAGGAAACGAATCCTTGCTGGCAATTCCTTACTTGACATCAAGGAGCGCATACGGGCAAAGTACTGATCCATTAAGGACTGGGGGGAAAAAAGTGATGTTACACGTGAGGGCTAATTCTATCAATGTCTTGAGTGTTTTCAGGAAACGTGACCACATTCATGACATCTAAGATCAAATAATAGAACAGACTGCCCTTTCCTGCTATCTCACTCTCCTTGATGGCAGTAGAGCTTAAGGAAAGCTAATGCATCAAGACATCTCATCTGAGTCAAAGATGAAAACCTGCCGAAATTATCATTACTATGACACCATTTCAAGTTTGCATTCAGAACTCGCAAGTCAAGGTCCAAAATACATCTGTCAGATCACCTAGTTATGTTCAGAACAGAGTTCCTCACCACATCTTTTCAAGCAGCATTTAGAGAAACAACATCCTTACTTTTATGACTTGCTAATGACCCTAACTGCATTTTGGAAAGACATTTAAAACCATTTCAAAGATTGGCTCCTTTTGCTATCAGGAGATTTGATACAGGAGCAATAGTTGGCATGCTTGCTCTCTGAAAGTCAGACCTCAGTTTTGTACTTATGAAAAGAATATTGAATACAGAAGGTTCAGGCAATTAAAGTCTTAGCCACGGAATTTAACTAGTTTAATGACTAGTTTAACAACTGCAGTGAATATGCACATACCTTGGCTTTTGCATGGTCTAATCTAGGTCCCACTGTCCTCATTATCTGACAGAGGCACTCCAAATCCTCCCCCATATCTTTGAGTTGGACTCTCTTCTTCTTTTCCAAAAGCTGAAATATTAAAGGGGAATTAGGTATCTCAACATATTATAAATGACAATTTATAGCAAGTGACAACTTTGTACACAGGGACACGCAGAAAAATTTCATCTTGTTCTGAAGACAAAGAGATCTGAAAATTAGTTTCTAAGAATTGCTAATTGAAGTACTTATTACTCAGTAAGTGTATGTACTTTGAAGTACCTGTGGTACTTCTGTCTAGGCCAAACTACATCTTCACTTGGAGACAATTCCCATGGCTTTGAACAAAGCCAATTTTACTTTTTAATCACACCAATTTTGTTTATTTCAAACAGTGGGGAGTAGATAACTGACAGGAAACATTTTTGTAGCATTTTAGGCTCCAAGATTCCTAAAGCGGCGAACATTTACATTTTTTAGTTTAGAAGTCCTATTTTGCTCTTAGCCCCCACCCAATCTGAATACTCACTGTTTTGATGCACTTATGAAGGATAGATTCATGAATAAGATCAAGCTTGCCAAGTTCTCCAATGAATTTGATGTTCCCCAGCATCTTGATCTTGGCAATGGCTCTCTGTTCCTCCTCCTCAGGGAGGAGGGGACCATCATGCTTATCATAGACTGGAAAACAAAGAAGCCTGTTTAACATGGCTGTGCAAAGAGAAGATAAATAAATTCTGTATTAAAGTGGTTTTAAAGCTTACTATCAACATTTCTGGTTCGGTTTTCAAATTCATCTTGAAGTTTAGATATTAGGAGGCGTCTGAATGTCTAAGAAAAAGAGAACAAAGAAAACAATTAAGCTAATCAGTGCAACTATACATACTAGCAAAGTTTATCATCCCAGATTGAGAGAGATACTCACTGTGCTTTGCTTCTGTCCTGGATGACTCTCTGCTGATGGGCCATCAAAGTTGGGTGCATCTTCTGCTAGTCGCAGACATAGTTGAGCATACAGTGAGCTATACTTGGGCTCTTCAAGGGCTTTGTCTACGATCTAAATAAATTTATTTTGAGTAAGGTAGCATGTAGTAGGATGCAAATGTTATTAGGAAAGTGAGTTGCACGGTACGCAATGGACTATTACTACTCTATGTGATCTAGGACATCTAACTGTTTTTTGCTATTTCATCAAACATACAGATATAATGGATTTTGTTTTAACACTAGTCTTAATGCTGAAGCAAAGGAAAAAAGCTACTCTGTGCTACCAAAGAGCTTCTATAATCCTTATCCAATGAATGGGATGAATTTGAAGTTTATCATCCGAACACCGAAGTTAGTATCGCCAATCTGATCTCAGATTAAACAAAATGACATGATAGTTAAATCAGCATACCACCAAGAGGACACCTGTGGTAGCTTTTCCAAGGCCATTAGGCTTGTTTGTCAGGAGAACAGGAAGAGGAAGAGGGGGACCAGGGAAGTAAGACTGCTAACTAGCATTTTAGGTTATTTAAAAAAAAAAAAAAAAAAAAGAAAAAAAAAAAATCCCCAATCACATTTAGAGATTCTTGAGACTTCTAAAACAGGAAGTTAGAGCATTAAGTCTACTTCCTCCCTATTATTTTTACACAA